ATCTTTCTCTTACTGTGGCTGATTGGAGATCGTTAACTTGGAGTCTTCTCCTTGGGATACTGCCCTTTTTGGGTTTGAATTTGAGATTGAAATTGAGTTTACAGCGCACAAGCCGATGGTCTGTTTGACATTCTGCGCTGGGCATCACGCGGGTATGGAGGACATCGCGGACGTCTCTCCGTCGCACCAAGACATAATCAATGAGGTGCCAATGCTTAGATCTGGGGTGCATCCAGGTTGTCTTTAGGCTATCTTTCTGCTGAAAGATAGTGTTGGTAATGGTAAACTGTTGCTCCGCACAGAATTCTAGCAGAAGTCGACCATTATCGTTGCAGTTTCCAACGCCATGCTTGCCTAATATTCCTTTCCATGCTTCAAAATTTTTGCCTACTCTGGCGTTGAAATCACCAAGGATAATGATCTTATCATCTGCTGGTACCTTTTGGGTAAGGTAGCGCAGGTCAGCGTAAAATTTATCTTTTTCAGCAGGGTCAGCTTGGAGAGTTGGGGCATATATGCTGAAGATGACAACGTGTTGGTTGTTATTTAGTGGAAGGCGTAGGGAGATAATGCGATCAGAGTGACCTGTCGGCAGATTTTCGAGTTTAGGGACAATAGAGTTTTTGATCATGAAGCCGACACCAGAGAGATGTTTTTCGGTTCTGGACTTACCTGACCAAAAGAGAGTGTAACCGGCACCGTGTTCTCTGAGGCTGCCTTCCTCATGAAGGCGAACTTCACTGAGAGCAGCTATGTCGATGTTGAGACGGGCCAGCTCATGGGCAATTAGGGCAGAGCGACGCACAGGACGTCCGCTGTCCGCAGAATCGAGCATGGTTCTGATGTTCCAGCATGCTAGAGATAATTTAGGTACACCTTTGGAGGCAGGTGCGTGCCTTTGTCTTTTGCTCTTTGTGCGACCGCATTGAAAGAAGATGCCCGTTGGTCTGCGGTTAACCAACCGGGTGAAGGTGGAGATGAGCTTTGTTTAGGCCACCTTTTCTAGGCCCCTCTCCGAGTGGAGCAAGTAGTGCTGTCCTTGAAAAGGCTGCTTGGTCGTTCAGGGTGCTGCCCCAAGAGACTCTCATCTCCGTCAGTCTCAAATGACCAATATCCTGAACCGCCTGCATGCAGGGTTGAGTCTGCGGCTCCCAGTGCACCTTTCACCTACCGTTTCGACCCTCGCCCGTCGCTGCAGGACTTTTTGCATGTGGGTAAAGCCTTCAAGCCTGCGCAATGGATTTTTTAGGTGAGATGCAGTATGCGCGGAACTGAACCCACCCTTTAATCCTGAGATTCATCTGCCAGGGCCGAGCAAGCTTGGACGGTGGCAGCGAGGTCCTCAGGACGTAGGTTTGATTAGAGTGACCTTCTCTGAGATGGATGGCCTTACAGGGCTAAGCAAGCTCCATCTGCCCGGGTTTGGTATGAGAGTTGTCCTTCTCCTAGGATGACTGCCAGAAGGCTAATGAGCTCATCCTGCCCAAGAATGAAGTGAATCTGGTCCTATGGTTTTGACCTGTCTGGCATGGGCGACCCTACCGAGGGCATGAACCCTCGCCAGCATAGCTCGCAACCACATAGGGGTACATAGGCTACTTACCTGTTAGAACGATTTGGGTAAGTCCATTGAAGATACTTATGCTTTTATTAACCAACAAAAGTAATACAGAGTAATAATTAATGCTGTGCAAAATCCAAACATATTAATGTTAATTGTGGGAACTGCCCAACTTATGATTTTTCTGTTTATCTTTAATTTGATTCCTTCAGCTTTTCAGTGGCTTAATCCTGACCGTGCAAACAGATTACAGTTTAGTTTTATTGTTGTTGTTAATGAAAACGAATCTGTCTACAGGTATAGAAATTGCTGGATTTAGTGGATATGACCCCTTCCTAATAAAACTCCACGAATTAATGTTTCTGAAAATTGTGCTCTCTAAATTGAGACCTTTCAATTCATGTTTGATGTGAGCTATTTTACCTGAAAGTTATGGACATGTGCGAGTAGTGAGTCTGTACCTCCTGCCTATGAAAATTGAGGTCTACATTAAACAGGTGGAATAGTTTTGGCACAATACGCATTGGTAAATATTCCCTTGTTTCTAGTTGAAGGCTGAGATTTTCTATACCTGTTCTGCTTTGTTAAATAACTTTATTCTCTCACAGATGTTTGGCTGAAGAGAGTTTTCATGTCTCTTGACACAGAAAGTATATCTTATTTGTTTGAATAGCTAGATTCTTCCAGTATCTTCTAGTTTCAGTTTCCTTACTTCAGTTTTCCTCCAGTGACAGTGATGAAGGTAATGCCTTATCAAAGCATCCAGTTATCAAATGCTTAATCGTCTGCTGCTGTGCATCTTTATCAGCTTATTTCTTTGTGAAGAAATCCTACATTTTTAAAGACTTTAGTTTGGATTATGGAAAACTCACGTTAGACTTGAGTGGGGTTTGAAGGTTTAGATTGATGCCTTTAGGATTATTAGAATAAGGAGCCCATTCATTTGTTCATTCATGAATCCTTCTAAATCAGGTTTGGCTTCTCTTCTGTGAGAGTCTATGTATTTTTGTAAGTATTAAAACTTTGATTTCATACTGAGCAAGAGAATGAAAGAGAGGAAGAACATAGCAAGTGAGGATGAAAAGTCTTTTCAGAAAAAAAGCCCAAAGACTTGTTGATACTGGACAGCGAAGCAGGAAACTACACGTGTCATAAAAGGCTCCAGCTTGTTGGATAAAGGCTGAAACTCAGGATGTACTCTATAAATACAAAACAGTTTCATAAAAATATTTTTAAAATGCAGTTCTGAGCACTTTAGAGAAGAGAAGCTGACTGATAACTGTTCAGCTACTTTAATATATATATTGGTACAGATGCATGCACACATATACATTCATACCATACTTTCATCTGTAAACATGAATATATTCAACTCAGTGATAAGTATTTCCCATAGGAGACTGGTAACATTACTAGCACTGGATGTAAATTTGGAAGGTACAGACCATATTCTTTGCAGATTCTAAACCAGCAACTTAATGGAGAAATAAAAAGGAAGGGAGTCCAATTTCAACAGGCAGAAGGGAAAGAATTTGTGAAGCTGAATATTTGCCTACACAAAAAGTTGTGAACTTCTTTTTCCACAGTATTTTGTCTCAAGTTTTTCTTTTTAAGCATTACATCTAACAGCCTTCTGGGGATTTTTGGGATGTCTTCTATCCTGACCAGTTGATAGTTGTTGAAATTTTCACTCAACTTGGAAATAAAAGTGTTTGCTGAAGCTGTTGGCCAAGAAACACGTCTGGAACAGATTTACTAGCTGCAATTAATGACCACATTCACTTTTTTCCCCTCTGACTTGTCAAATATGAACTTCCAGAGATCTCAAACTATGAGTTGCTACATCCTTTTGCTTGCAAAGTTGCTTTGCTTTTTAGACTGAAATGAGCGTTGTTCAGAATTACTGAGTAAAGTACAGTAATTTGGAATATCAGAAAAATTTGTAATAATACAAGAGTGCGTTTCTGATTGGTAGTCTCTTGTTGTGCTTTGTTGTACGAAACAAGGCAAGGTTGGAAAACATCTCTTTTTTTTCTTACCATGTTTTTAAATTTTTTTCCTTTACTGAATACCAGAATAACAATACTACAGCAGGCCTATAATAACGGAGTAGCTGTAATGCTAAGTCACTCTGAATATGTTTATGCCTTCATTTTTCTCTTGTTATTATTTCTAATTTATAAGCATTTACATGAAGATACCCATCTCTCTGAAATCCCTCCATTGTTGCTCATTTCTGGTGTACCGGTTTCAAAGGCAGCCAGAGTCCCAAGATGCGACTTCATCCACCCACCCAACACAAATGAACCCAGTTGTACTCATGTCAAGACCCAAACTCAGTCAAGTTCCCTAAAGACTGGGAGGAAGGAAGCCTAAAGTAATTGATATCTGACAACTATTGCTGCCTGTTTGGTGTGTTAACTGTATGAGACACCTGTTTTCTTGAATTTGTGCTTAAACAGTTTTCGCACATATTTTGAGATTTTTGTTAAAGGAACCCCGTGTTTCATCACATGGTCTGTGACCTGATTGCAGTCCTGTTTCTAGAGTGAATAGCTGATTAGAAAACTAAAATAATTGAACAACTGAAACTGCTCGGAATGGTTTGCTTGAAAGAAGCTGCTGTGCCATCTGCTTGCGCCACTAAGGGTGCTTGATCACATATTGTCAAATAAAAGCAAACCCCAGAAATCTCATGTACCCAAGTACTTTTCTGTATGATTAGAGCTGATCTTACCTCAGGTGGCATTTTGAGAAAAAGAACATAAACAGGGATTTAGGTCATGTCTTGTAACCTACCAAATTCTGTATGGTTGTTTTGCATATGAAAAGCAGTGGTGAAACACATTAATTTCAGGAAGGCATTCTTGTTATCCTTCCCTTCTGATGGAGAAATTTAAGGATTTTTACTTTTAATTTTTCTGAGCATAAGACAGTGTTCTGGAGTGGATATTTAACAAGGACTGCTTTGTCAGCTGGATGGAGGTCATGTGCAGGGAGGTTTGCAGTCTGTGTTTCTTGCCTGTCATGGCACAGCACTCTGCAACTTCCCTGAGAAGATGATGTGTCACATTTGTGCTCTTTGCTCTGAAGCATTCCCAATGCATATCTCTGACAACATGGGGAAAATAATGACATGAGAGAAATTCAGGATTGATACCTATAGGTCACCTGTGAAACTTCAGAGCTTGGGGATTATGCTGTTAGGACTGGCAATATAAACGCTAGAGACCATCTACAGCTGACTGGATGTACAGCTGTCCAGTACTGCTCTTTGCAGGCTTTCAGTCTCCAAATGAAGATGAAGTGTTCTGATTTCTGAAATTTACATTGTCTAAGCCAAAGTTCAGCCTTTCAGGACCCTTGTCCATTTTCAAACTGTGGCTTTGATGATGCATGATGATGAAGCTAAATGCCTTCTTTGTTGCTGTGTCTCCAGGCATTGCTACGGGGAGCCTCTGGGAGTTCCAGGGTGAAGAGATCTGCCTTCATCTGGAGACCTCTGCTAAAGGTGAAGACCTCCTAACAGGCCAGACAGCCTTAGCAGGACCTCAGAAATCGTATATCAAGGTAAAACAATTCATTTTTCAAGCAAATTGAATTGACTGATACAATTTTCAAAATAATGATTTTTTTTCATGCTAAATAAACACAGAAATACATCTCTGAACTTTCTCCTTTTGTGTGTATTGTTCCTTGCTACCTGGTACAAATGTTGTAGTAGCAAATGCTCGAGGGGGGTGAGTGGGAGACAACATAGTGCATTGTTGATTAGAGCTAAAGTAACTCCTTTTATTATTAGTAAGAAGATATATTTGCAGTTCTTTGTTCACGAGGGAACAGGCTGTTTCTGAGCTCTACAGCATGCTCTGTTTTTAGAAACTTATCCCACTTTAATTGTTGTATTCAGAGCTCACTTTGGCTACAGAAATACGAAAACACACTCTGATATCTTCAGCAATGGGAGAAGGACAAGGTTTGCATATCATGAATTTCTGTTTATCAGCACTGTAGTTATTTCTTAGTATGGTCATCCAGAACCCATTCTTGCTTGTAAAGGACAAATGCTGATGGAAGAAAAAGAAATGTGACTCCAAGAACTTTTTTGAACCTATAAATGCTACAGTCCCAGGCACTCTGGGAGATTTGACTATGCTATGGCTTTGTTAGCTTGCCAGGATTTTGAATGTAGTGATGATATATGCAGAATCTTTCCTTCATACTGACGAGATTAATTGAACTTTGTGTAGAGAGTTGGCTGAAAAAAGTGAGTAGTAGCGGAAATGTTTTCTACGTATTTCTTCAAGATTAAACGTAGGTACTTCTAAAGGTCTGCCAACTTCTCTATATTTTAAAAAGAGCTGTTGCAAGGTGTTAACTTCACTGTTGGAAAGCTTCTTAAATAAATATTTCTTGATTCATCCAAAAAGAATTGCAGATTTTTGTAGTTAATCCTTTATTGATCTTTCTAATTTAGGCTGAAATTAGAGCTCTGAACTAGAACAAAGTTCATTGTCCTACCATCCGCAGAGTAAATCAAAAGTTTTGCGATTAGCACAATCAGTGTTTCAACTCATAACCTTCCCTTCTGATCTGCTGTACATGCCTGGGAGTCAGACCACCAAGCACATTTAGGCCCCCTCATCCCCTTGTTACACCATGCCCTTTCTTTCTGCTTCTCAGTTCTTTGATTTCAGTTGCAACTGTGTTTCTCCAGTCTACTGGCAAGGTCATCTTGAACAACTGAGGATGCTCATTATTCAACTGAGTATTCAAACCTTGACAGAACAGCAAAACTGATGATAGTGATTATACACTGATTTCAAACTGAAGGAAAAAACCCAATCCAGAAATACTTATCTCCATAATGTTTCCTTTTGTTACATTTGCCTTAGGAGTACACGAAACAATGCAAGTTGAGATAACCATGCACTAAAAAAAATATAGTATTTCTTCTGAAAGTTATTTAAACGTTTATTTATTTTAGAAGTGCAGTTTTATGCATTGAGAGAGTAAAGACTTCCTAGAAAGTATCCTTATAATCCCATGGGCTGCATGGTTGTATCTAAGTGGGGGGGTGGTGGTTAGGTTTCATGTACAACAATGTTAGTGTACTGTCAGTGCACAGCATCCAGGATTGAAATGCAGCCTTGAATGCTGTCACTGCTTCCAGCAAGGCAGTTTGTTCTGTGCCTTTCTGTCTCTTGTTTCCCTTTGTTGGAGGGGTTTGTTGCTAACCAGAAACACATTATATGAGACAGCCAAAAGTTCTGGCGAAAATCAAGAACAGTTCATAGCCATGAAGATTTTATATTTGCCCTAGATTCTTTTTTTTTTCATTGATGCAGCTGTAACTGTTGTTGTAAATTATATAAATAATTGATCAAGGAGTTCTTGTTACCTCAAATAATGTTATGCTTATTGCTTCTCATAACTGTGCTGCTCTTTGTTGTACTACAGCATAGCTCATACCCTGCTCTGTGTGGGGGGGTTTTATTCCCTTACAATTTTCTTCTGCTCCCAACCCTTTGCTCTTCCCCTCTTCCCCCTTCTCGGCAAGAACGTGTTGTTTCTGCTTCAGTTTATTCCATGATTTAACTGAAAAGCAGGATCTTTTTTAATCAACAGCAACACATTTAAAAAAACCTCCACAGCCCTGGGAACTGTGCAGTGCGCACATCTGTTTTCACATAAGCATGAATTGCTGGCTTTACAAACATGAAGCATGTAGTCCTTGCCACAGACTTAGCTAAAGTGTTCTGTAACTTGAGACTCTATTTGAAATAAAAACAAAATTGTATAGCTTCTTTACCATACTAATGGAAAACATTTAATTTACTTCTTCAAGCCAACCAAAAGTATGACGCAATGCTGCTCAAGCAGATTTACAGTGCCTTTTCTTCCCTGGAAATCAATACAGCTTGGAGGTGCTGCTATGGGAGCTGGCTAGTTGACTGCGATCCAGCTGCATTCAAATGTAAACTTCTGTACCGCAAACCAAAACTGGTGATTTTGATTTATTCAGGCATCACTCCGTCTTTGAGATATTATGGTGTTGGATTTTATTCTTTGTTTTATTGCCATTAATGCTAGGTTGGATTTCAAAATAACTAGTTCAGTGGGTTAGTGATTTTTTTTTTTTCTGAAATCATTCAGTGATTTTCTACATTTCCTGAATTAAAGTACTTAGGTCTGTGGTAGTGATATCAGCAGAAGCAGATCTATGTACATGGCCATGTGTGCCTTTCAGTGGAGTCTTTTTTCCCTTAAACAAAAAAATAACACCACCAAAAAAACAGGCCTTCACTCAGTGTGAGCATTAAAGTCTAACATAATTGTTTTCCACTTTGTACAGACTAAGCTCTGAACATTAAATGTTGTTTGATTTTTCTCCTGCTAGAAGAGGCAAAATGCAACAGTGTTCTTTAGCTGAGTCCAAAATAGTTTTTAAAATAGAACTGTGGAGTTTATTAAATAAGTGAAGCCAACAGTGCAGATTTTCATAGTGCACAAACTTTTATGCCTTTGTTTCCTTTCCATTTCCTCACTGCCTCCACTAATGGTTTTGACTTTATTTAAACTCTCTGCTGTAAGAGGCTGTTGGTGTTTCTCTCCTTATTTTTTACCTTAATGGGATTTCATCTTTTCTCAAATAGCCCTTAGAATGGGATCCCTGATGCTGCCTTGCTCCCCAGATGTATTTCTTTGGGAAGTCTGTCACTGATGGCCTGTATGCTGGTCATGTTTACTTCTACCAGAAGGAAAATCATGACTTGATACTTGCCTGCTAGCTTGCCAGAAGTATATTTCATCTTTTTTTAAAAAAAAGAAAAGTTCTACTTCCGTTTCTCACGTAAATTTGATCCATTTTTTTTTAATCCTCCATTCATTTTTCTCTTTCTTATATGTAACAATCTCACGGTGAAGAAAGAGCCTGAGAAGATAATGGGAGATGAATTGAGGTCCTTTTCGTAGGGATAGCTTGGGATGTTGTGGGTTAGCGAAGAGGAAGATGGGGATTTGAGTTGTGTGGGAGTCTGGGGTTGGAGGTTCTTTGGAGTTTTTTTTCCTTGAGATGATGGAGAAGGTCATAATACAATGAAGATGAGAAACAATGTTGCTGGTAGCTGCATTATTTTCTTTGAAAAGGTTACCATATGAGACTTGATAGAGAAGTACATAGAATCCATAGAATCCAAATTACAAATATTAATGATTTGGTTTATTTGGAGGAAAACAGTGAAAACAGAGATTTGTACCAAATTTCAGTGCAGTTTCAAACATTCTTTAATACAATTTTGTAAATTTTCAAACTACTGAATAGTTTTACTCATAGTATAAATACTGATTTTTAAAGATGCATAGAGTGGGAGAACATATGGTGACAGTGTGATTATCACGTTTTCTATTAAATATAAGGACAACATATACCCAGTTGCATCTAACTTAGACATAATAAAGATTACAGCTATTAGATATTGCCCAACAATCTTCGACAGCTTAAGTTTATTTTCTGAAATGCTTCCTGAAGATGGACAAAATGCCTCATTTAATTGGGGTGGCAAATCTGGATCTTTGGTGTTTGTACAATCATAAATGTCTCCCTGGCTGCTATTTGGGAATAATGTCTTGTGTTGCAGCATATCAAATTACCGGAGATACTGCCCAGCAAGGGCATCTTTCAAAGGAATGATGTTATAAAGAACAACACATAAATCTTTAGAAGAAGAAGAAGAGACATTCAACCATTTCTACTCAGACTATCTAAGTGAAACAGAAATGCAGTTAAATTCAACAAACAGGCTGACACATTTTGGCAATATGTTTAGCCCATAGGTTTTCTGTTTGACTGTTCCAAAATTCTTGTTAGCATGAAATGTCTGTCATTTAGCTTTCCTTCTGCCATTTTCTCTATACTAGCACTGGCAGTCCAGGCTGGAGTATGCCATAAAGACTTTTAAAGCTATACTTTGAATAAAGCTTACATTTACTACAGAATATTTGCTTTGCATGGTTACAGTACAAGCACTGTGTTCCTGTGTAAGCATTGTAATGAAGTTGTTAAGAAGAAAAGAAACGCTTATAGCATTTGCACTAAAGTTCATGGAGCATGAGATAGCTGCGCTGAGGATGCTGGTACTTGGAAGGGATTAAAAAAAGCTTCTCAGAAATAAACAAAAATAACATTCTCAGAGTAGCAAAACAGTATATGCAAGTGATGAGAATAAAGGCACTAATTATTACGTAGAGAATAACCTCACTTGAAATGCCACAATGTGATCCACTTTATGATCTGACTTTCCTAAATATGATTTGAAAAGCAGGAAGAAGTACAGGGCATGACCTAAAAATGGTAGTCTGGAAGCTTCTTTAGGTATGTTGGGTCTGAAATGTAGGTTTTCCTCAAGTCAAACCTGAATAAACTGTTTTGGGTGTTCATGTTGTCCTTATGGTTCCAGCTCTGCCAGACATAGCTATTGCTACTTTATTTTAAGAATTACTTGGAACTTGAGTCTTGCTGGAAACAGAATGTTGTCAGGAAGATGCAGTCTTGCTGTTAAGAAACTTAA